CAGGGTTTCTCTGTGTAGCCTTGGAGGCTGTCCTGGAACTCACTTTGTAGACTAGGCTGGCCTTGAACTCACAGAGATCCTCCTGCCTTTGCCTCCAGAGTGCTGGGATTAAAAGTGAGCGCCACCACCGCCCGGCTTCAAATGCTGGCTCAGAGACAGATGATCCTTCAAAGTGACATTGCTTGAGCTCAGTAGATACCAGAGAGTCTTGCTTGAGTTGTGCTAAGCCATTCAGCCAGGGTGCCAGACAATCAGCGGTCACCATGGTCACTGAAAGAGTCCTCTATTGCTAGCACAGTGGCTTGTGTGCATTGAGGTATGTTGGAGACCAGCTTCTGTTGAGCTGCCTGGTCCTTCTATGGCTGTCTCCTCCTTGTAGACTTTTTGTCCCCTGCTTCTGATTACTGTGGGCCACCTCCTCCCAGGGCATTTCTTCATACCCCTAGGTGCTACCTTCTGCTGACATCATGTTCTGATGGTCAGGATGTTTAGCAGGAGTGCCTCCATCATATTTTCTTCTGCTTAGTTCTAAGCGTTCAGTATAGATGACCATCAAGTTTCTCTCTAAAATTCTGATTCTCTGAAGAATCCTAACAGGTTGTGTGTAATGATGATTGAGTGACACCCTAGTCAGTCACAATGGGAAGCAACTCATTTATGCATTTGTAGCATTTATTGACCCAATCAACCCTCTAGAATCATTGGAGGGAAGGACAGTCATTGAATCAGGAAGTTGGTTGTCACTCTTCAGATACCTTCCAGGACATGCTGGGCAGATGTTTGTTCCTGGAGACATTCATCCACCACCCTGTTACAGGACAGAAATGCAGATTTTGAGGACCTGCTGTGGGCTTTACCATGAATACTCCTTCCTGTGGCTGCTGTCACGGTATCTTCCCTGTTCAGTGTGCTTGACCTGGGTGTCTTGTGCCAGGGAGGTTATTCTTGTACTCCAGATGCTTGCTTGGAATGGCTGGGTTATGGATAGGATAGAATGATCTGGAGTCAGTTTGGAAGAACAGATGGTAAGATCTGAAGCTTTATTTTTACTAGAGAGGGTTGATTTGTTCTGTCCAATACTTGGGCATTGGCAGCCTCAGGAATTCATGTAAATGTCTCATCAACGGCTGTTCGAGGCTCTTTTGTTTTCTACTATGTGTGTTGATGTCAGATCTTGTGTATTTTTTACATGATTGATAATGTCATTGATTGTAGGATGATGAAGATTCTGGTTGATATCTTTTGGATCACTGGTAGGCACGAGTGCAGTCTGTAACCATATACGAGCATCAGCTTGTAGGAGTGGTTCTTAGGAGGAAGGGTATAGTGGGGCACAATTAATGTGTACCGCAAAGGAGTCAGAGCAAGTTTGATAAGCAAGGTTTTATTATATAAGTACTCACGAGATCAAGTCAGTCCTATACAACCAGGCGAACCCTGAAACAGAGCGAGCTGCCTAAGTGAGACTCTCGTATTGAAGGTCTTGCTACTTCACTCTGACCACGTCCAAGTGTGCGTGGTCTGTGTCACCTGTGCCAGCCCACAAGATGGTGTGGCTAACATTTCCCCTACACAAGGGTTTTGTCCTTGTTCCTCTGTCTTTACTCACTCTTCATGGTCTGTGTGTCCACCTGTCGCTGTTCTTTTCTGTCTTCCGACATGGGGCGTGTTTAATGTTTATAGTGTTTCTGCCATAGTCTCCTGTTAGCCTGCCTACTTTGACTGTATTTTACTCATAAAAATGATCTGCCTCCCAGTCAATGATGTCTTAGACTTGGAAAAAAAAAAAAAAAAGAAAAGCAGTCATGTAATGATTTGACTCCACAGAGGCTCAGATCAGATTTCTGAAGGCCAAACTCCATGTGATGCAGGAGGAACTGGACAGCGTTGTGTGCGAGTGCAGTAAGAAGGTAAGCTTGTGTGACCTCTCACAAGGATGCTCTACTGAAAACACCAGGGACAGCTTTATTTTCAGGTAGCCTTATTTAGATTGTAATCCACAGATAAATACCGTATTCAAAAATTGTATATAAACGACAAGCTTTATTCTGAAATGATAAATTATCACAAAGTTTAAGAACATATCAAAATTGCTGAAATTTACTATTTTAGTCTTGCCAGATAATAAGCTATTCAGTATAAAGTATCTGATTTCCATTTTTTGCTAGTGAATATGGAATGGGCTTTATTTTTCTCAGGAATTCGTGTAAATGTCTCATCAAAGACTGTCTGAGGCTCTTTTGTTTTCTACTATGTATTTTGATGTCAGATTTTGTATATTTTTTTAAAGATTGATAATGTCATTGATTGTAGGAGGATGAAATTCAGGATTTAAAGTCCAAGGTGAAAAATTTTGAAGAAGACTGTGTGAGACAGCAACGAACAATTACTTCACAGCAGTCTCAAATAGAAAAATATAAGAATCTTTTTGAAGAAGCAAACGAAAAATGTGATGGACTACAGCAGCAGCTCTCATCAATAGAGAGGGTAAATTTTTCCTAATCTCCTGACTCAATGCTGAGGACACACTGAAACTATTAGAACTACATACACTCTTGGTAGTTGTTCAGTTAATAATATTTATAGAAAAATCCCCTTAAACAGGATATTTGACAACTCTTTGAGGTACATACACTGTGTTTCACCTCCTAGTAAAGTTTGCAGTTCAGTGGCTTTTAGTATGTTCATGAATTCATGATCTCAAACGTACAACGTATTCATCTCCAAAAGATGGCTCTTACCCTTCAGTCTCCACACCCCACATCTCATCCATGCCGGCCCTTGGTTACTACTCCTCTATTTTCTGTCTCAGTAGATCTGTCTGTTCTGGAAATTTCCTTGTAAATAGATTCAAATAATCTACAGTCTTTGTGATTGCCTTCTCTTATTGAAGACATTTTTTTTTTTTTTTTTTACTGTTCAGCCATGTTACAAAACTAATTGTTTAATTTTTCTTGAATTGTCAAGTATATTCCATTATGTGGGTATAACACATTTTTAAATATTTATTGTTTTAAATTTGTATTGTTTATTTGTGTATTTATCTTGAAATGCTGGGGTTGAAGCCAGTGCCTTTCACAGGGACAACTGCCAGCTGTTTCCTACTGCTGTTGCATCACTCTGCTCCCTGCCAACAGCATGAGGGTCCAGTCTCTCCACACCTTCACCTGTCCATCTTAAGTTATCCTTTTGGTTACAGTATCCCGTTGGCATAAATGACTATGATTTGGGTCTCCCTTTCCCTAGCAACAGATGATGTTACTCATTTTCCGTTTATGTATCTTCTTGGAGAAATGTTGTCCTCTGACCCACACCCACATACCCACCCCCCTCACACACCCACATACCCACCCCCACCCCCCACACCCACACCCACACCCACACCCAAACACATACACACCCACACCCAAACACATACACACCCACACACAAATACACACACACCCACACACAAACACATACACACACATAAATGTTGTGGCCCATGTGTGCCTCCTAATATAAACATACACTTGCACACATGCAGTAAAGATATTTAATAAAAAATCATCTTTACTGGCTCAGTGTGATGACCTCTGCCTTTAATGCCAGCACTTGGGATTTAGAGGCAGGTGGATCTCTGAATTCAAGGCCAATCTATCCTACATAGCAAATTCCAGGACAGCCAGGGCAACATAGAGAGACCCTATCTCAAAAAACAAAACAACAAAATCCATTTTTTTAGGAATGTCTTAAAAACAATAAAATGTATCTGTTCTAAATACACACTTTAGTGAGTTAATTTTTCAAAGCAGAGAGCACAGACTTTGGAGTCAAACAAATAATTTGATGCCTGCCCTGCCCACTACCTAATTACTGGCAGTTTGCTTAGTCATCCATGTTCAGTTTGCCTTTCTATAGTATGTTTTGCCTAGCACACACTACTGAAAAGACGCGCCTTTGTTCCCACACAAAGGACTAATGTAAGCCATGTTGTCCTCTGCCAGGCTAATCCACTGGATAAGATGGATGTGACACTGACACCCAATCCCTATCCCCTGCCAGTTTCCTTTACATTCTTTCCCATAGTCTTCAGCCTCTAAGCACCACCCCAGGCAGGTGGTGAACCACATTCTTCTACTGCACCTTAGTTGTTTTTTTTTTTTTTCTAAGATTTTTTTAAAAATTCATTTTATATACCAACCGCAGTTCCCCTTCCCTCCCCTCCTCCTGCTCCCCCCATCCCCCCCTTAACCCACCCATCCACTCCTCAGAAAGGGTAAGGCCTCCCCATGGGGAGTCAACAAGGTCTGGCACATTCAGTTAAGGCAGAACCAACCCTCCCCCACCCCCACAACAAGGCTGAGCAAGGCATCCCACCATATGGAATGGGCTCATGCATCAGAGATAGATCCTGTTCCCACTGCCAGCAGTTCCATAAACAGACCAGGCTACAAAACTGTCACCCACATGCAGAAGCCCTATGCAGGTTCCCCAGCTGTTGGTTTGGAGTCTGTGAGCTCCCACAAGTTCAGGTCAACTGTCTCTGTATTTTTCCCCATCTTGGTCTTGACCCCCCACCCCACTGCACTCATATAATCCATCCTCCCTCTCTTTGACCAGACTCTGGGAGCTTGGCCCAGTGCTTAGCTGTGGATCTCTATATCTGCTTTGATAAGTTACTCTATGAAAGTTCTGTGATGACAGTTAGAGTAGTCACCAATGATTACAGGGGAAGGCCAGTTCATGTGGGGTCATCGTTGTGGATTCCTGGGAATTTTCCCTAGCATCAGGTTTCTCCCTAGCCCGGTAATGGCTGTCTCTACCAAGATACTGCTTTCATTGCTCTCCCACCCCACCCCTTCCCCAACTCACCATCCTGATCCCTCATTTTCTCATCCCCCATCCCCTCCTCTCTACCCCCCACCCCCAAATTTACCCAAAAGAACTCATCTGCTAAAATTTCATATAGATGTAATCATAAATACATACTTTTTCTGTTTGGTCACTTTTGTTTTTACACATTACAAGTTTTCATTTGTTGCTCTGTGTTTGTTAATAAATACACCACATTTTAAAATTACTAATTACAAATGATACCACTGTGTTTCCATTTTTCATGGACATGAGTCTTTGTGAGTATTTATCTGTTACCATGATGTTGGATAAATACCTATGAGCAGAATTTCTGGATTTTATGAAAAAGTCCATGTTAAAACATTTTAAGAAACTGCCAGGTATGGTGGTGCCTGTAATTAATCTCATTACTCAGAAGATAAAGTCAGGAGAATTAATACAAATTTGAGGCCAGCAGGGGTCCTTCAGGATGTTCCAGGCCATCCAGGACTGCCTCATGGATTTGTCTGAAAAATGAAAAAGAAACCACAAAATCAAGCAACAACAACAACAAAAAACATGTAAGGAAACCGTTAACCCATGTTACAAAATGCTTGTCCCACCTGGAATTCCTCCAGGGTTGTGACCATGTCCCCAGCAGGTGGCTCTATCAGCAGCACTGCCTTAGATCTTGGAGAGGAAGCAGAGTGTGTCTTTGCAGTGTGACTTTTACTTCCCTTGTCTGTTGGGGTTGATCTTGTCATGTGCCATGCTGTGTGCTTCTCTGTGGTCCATCTGTACACGCCACAAGACCAGGCTCTAGGGCTCTTCATGATTCCCCTGTAATCCCTCACTAGAAGCTTCGGTATTGTGTATAATCTTTTGTCATTTGGCTTTGCTTTATCTTTTTTTAAACCATGTGTTTCCAAAGGCAGAAGTTTTAATTTTTTTGTAAATTCTATATATTATTATTTTCTTGAAATTTTTGGTTTTTCATTCTGCCCAGAAACTTTTGCCTGCTCCAAAGCCACGAGGATCTAGGTATCTCACATATATACATACATACATATATATATATATATATATATCCCATCATGTGAGTCATACACATGAGATCATTTTATGTACAATATGAAAGAATATCTGTTTTGTCATGTAGGTAAAAATATTGTGGGAAATACTGATTTCCCTCTATTTTATTACCATGTCATTGATGGGCGATGGGGCCCAGTTCAAGACTTTTAACACAAGTGTAAAATTGAAAAGACTTGAGATTTTCCATAAAAGTTTTGTCTGGCAACATGTGAAGTTTTTGTTTGTTTGTTTGTTTGTTTTGGTAGCAGCAGTTTTATTTGTTAGCAGGATGCAGTGTGTGAGAGACAGAGTTAGATGGATCCCTATGAATTTCATGCTAGCCTGGTCTACATAGTGAGACTCTGTCTCCAAAAAAAATTTTTTTTAAAAAGTTACCAGTATGGGACTGAAAACAAATGTTTTCAAAGTTTTAAACGTGGATTTCCTTTTCTTTAATGGATTTATTTGTCCCTCTGCCATTCTTTCCACTAGCTGTTCTTTTCATGCTCTCAGGGAGGCAAGCAATGGTCTTCAGGTTTCAGGGAAGGAAGCTGCAAAGTTACCAGCCACAGAGAAGGCAAAGATTCACTGCATTCTTCCTGTCCAGGCTGAGGGTGAGGCAGTAAGCACTGTGGTCTGGAAAACTAGTAGGCAGTTTTCACCTATTCCATGTGAACAGTGAGAGCTCCCGTCATAGCTGCCTCCCCCAAAGCTGTGCAGAAGGCTGTGACAGCAGATGGCAGCCAGGCGCAGCTTGATTTGTTTAGAGACCTACATATGGAGCAGCATGTGTTTTGTTTTGTTTTTCCCTTTAATTACTCAAAGCCACAGAGATGAGTTTCAAAGATGATGTGATAGAGCCAAGGAAGAAATATCTAAAAAGACAAGTGTTGCATTAAAGTGAGCTCCAGCTCAACAGTGAGGCTCTGGGCCAGCCAGGCCATGTGTTATGTGGGACACAATGGAGGTATTCAGTATTACAAGACAAGCCTGAGTCATTTTTGATTTTAATTATTTATTTATATGTATGTGTATGACTGCTTGTCTGTATGTGCACCATGTGCCTGTGGTGTCCAAGGCCAGAAAAGGGCAACAGATTGCTGGAACTAGAGTTCAGGCAGTTGTGAGTCCCAGTGCGGGTGCTGGGAACCAAACTTGGTTCCTCTGCAAGAGCAGCAAATGCTGTAGCCACTGATGCGTCTCCACAGCCTTTTAAAAGATGTAGTTAGTGCCTTTTACATGCAGCTTCAACGCTGGGACCACAGAAATAAAAACAGTTGATAACTTTAAAAGTTTATACTTCAGTGGGAAAAACAAGCAAGGGAATGGTTTCAGTACCTGCAGCAAATGGTGTGCTCAACTTTGATCAGGAAGCTCCAAATCCAGCCATGTCACTGTGAGGACTAGGGACAACACCAGGAAGGAGCTCAAGCCCTACTGAGTACCCAGGTAGAGTCTGGGCATCATGAATAGGTGCTAATTAGATAATTGGGGACTGGAGGCAGAAAACTTCTGAAGCCCCCGATAGAGCATGTGTAGCAGGGGAGGGGGCTAGTTACCACAGAGTTTACAGTTCAGGAGATGGATTATTGTTTCTTCAAATATTAACTGTCCATTTTCGGCAGAAGAATACCATAGAATATTTGCAACAAGGACCCCATAGTTTGCAAGATACGTTGTTTCTGCTCAGGTTGGATAATTCCCAGTGGGGCTAATGAATAGCCCTCCATTTATCCTTTGTTTCTTCAGTAGCTTGCTTTGTTGTTGTTGTTTTTTGAGACAGGGTTTCTCTGTGTAGCTTTGAAGCCTATCCTAGCACTCGCTCTGGAGACCAGGCTGGCCTCGAACTCACAGAGATCTCCTGAGTGCTGGGATTAAAGGCGTGTGCCACCAATGCCCAGCTTATCCTTTGATTCTTCAAGGTGTAGACTTTCTTGGTTTTCCCCGAGAGCAGTGTTCACGGGCAAGTGATGTCTTATGTTGGCCTTTTGGGAGGTTTCCAGAGGACTTTGCCTTGGAGGCATATGCCTCTGAACTCAGCACTCAGGAGGCAGATGTGGAAGGGTTGAGAGTTTTAGCTCAGCCTGGGCACAAATACAGCAAGATCCTGTCTCCATAACAGTTCAGTTTAAAAATGTTTGCTCCTAAAATAAATATGGAGACTAATTATACCATGTTTTGAGTCAACAGGAGGCAGAAAATACTAAACAAATGAGCAACATTCATTGTGGCTGGAGAGATGGCTCAGTGGTTAAGAACACTGGCTGCTCTTCTAGAGGACCCAGGTTCAATTCCCAGCACCCACATGGTGACTCACAACCATCTGTAACACCAGCTCCAGGGATCTGATGCCATTTTCTGAGCTCTGAAGGCACCAGTTACACAAGTGGTACAGAGACATAATACATACAGAGAAAATACCCCCCCCCATGCAGACAAAACAACCCTCAACACAAAAACTAAAGGATAAAAATAAAAAAATTACAAAGCATTCACAACTACATTTTCAGGTGTCTTTTTCTAATACCATATTTGGGTGAGAATCCCCTGAGAACTGTGTCTCTTGATGCTTGGCCCGAAGCCCTGTGAGTACAAGAAGCATGAAAATGAAAAATATAAAAGGAAACTGATATTTCAATACTCCATATGTTTTTAAATACACAGGAATTAGAAAATAAAAGAAAATTACAAAAACAGGCTGCCACAAGTCAAAGTGCCACAGAAGTCCGCCTGAACCGAGCTCTAGAAGAAGCAGAAAAGTATAAAGAGGAGCTGAATAAACTAAGGCAAAGTAACAAGGTATGCAAACCCGAGTAGCCGCAGTAGTGCTCTGATGGGGAATGTCCTTCTGTGTATGTTTATCTTATTGGTTGTTGAATAAAGTACTGTTGGCCAATGAAGAAGCAAGTTAGGCAGGACTAGGAGTCAAGGAGGATTCTGGGAAATGTAGTAAAAAAAATGTTGTGATCCAGGCAGGAAGTGACATAGCAGGCTGACTCAGAATATAAGCAGGAAATCGTCCTCTGGCTTCCTCTCTTTCTCCTGCTCTCTTCTCTGCTCTGCAGTCACCATGTGACCACCAGGAAGACAGGACACATTTCTGCCTGCATCCTCCATAAGATAAGTCTTAGGATTATGGATGATAATTAAGACTGAGCTAGCAGATAAGAAATCCTAGTCATTGGCCAAGCAGCATTTGTACCTAATATAAGACTCTGTGTGTTATTTTGGCCACTCATGTGGCGGGTGGAACTTGGGTGGCCTGAGTAAAGACTTATTGTAATAGTGCTCCCCCTTGGAGGCCCCTCCCTCTGCAAGCCTTGGAAGCCATGTTTATGAACTCAATTCGGGGTTTGGTGTAGGGTGGGGGTCACATGCCGTGGTCCCATTTGGAGGAGTTCGTTGTCTCCTTCCACCTTTTATGTGTAGTTGGGGCATCTAACTTAGGTGGTGGAGCTTACATGTTAAGCCTTTACTCACTGAGCCATCTCACCAGCCCAGAAACCAATTTCACTGGCTATTTGGAAATTAAAATTTCTCCTGTGCTCAGCAGTGGTGGCTCACACCTCTAACAGGGCACTCAGGAGGCACTCAGGTAGATTTCTGAGTTCAAGCCATCCTGGTCAACAGTGTGAGTTCTAGGACAGCCAGGGCTACACAGAGAAACCCTGCCTCAAAAAACCAAAAAATAATTTTCTCATGTCATGATGAATTCTCTTTTCAGAAAAAAAAAAATTTAATAATAGGTACATTTTCTACTAGTTAGGATTTTCCACTAATTAGGATTTTATTTTGGCTATTATAATTGGGTGACTGCACAACTCTTTGGAGGATTCCTTCATTTCTTCACATAATCTTTAGAGAGCCCTATATTATATGTCAGATTCTTCCTGGACCTTGTGGTTAAAGCAATGAAAAATAAGCATCTTTTGTATGTCACCTGCTGCCTTCTTCTCTGAACCTCAGGCTATGCTATGCATAGGGAAGGGTTGTATTATAGGGTCACAGTTCTGAGCCCTGCACACGGGGAGGAGGCTTTGTGAAGTACAGACCACTGGGCCCTAGTCTTGGAGCTAGTCTTCTCAGCAAGTCAGAGTGAGGCCTGAAATCACAGTCTCGATGTTGGTGGTAACACCTGTTACAGTTGGGTACATACCACTCATCTCAATTGTCAGTGTAATAGTCATTCATTGCCTTGAATATGTTGAGTGAATGGAGGCAGATATTGATGGGAGAGCCTTTCCAATGTTCTGTAAAATTAGTTCTGCATCAGTCTGATTGAATTGCTTCCTATGACAACATTTAGTAACTTAACAATGACTTCAGAACTACCTTATTTCATAATTGATGGTACATTCTGAATTTTCTCAGTAACTCTGGCTGGAAACAGAGGTCTTGACTTGTCTTCTGAAATGACTAGCAGAAGCCAACACATGAACCCTTAACTATAGCATTTTAATGAATCCATCTAAGGCACCTTATGCTGCATGGCCAGCTGTTCCATGTTTAAATGCCATCAATGATGACCTAACTGAAATAAGTCATCTTCACATATCAACACTCAGGGTGTTGTTAAGACTTAGAAAGTAAAAGGAAAGAATAACTGTGCATCAGGATTTGCTGTTCTGGTTGTTAATCTGATCTCTGATTTGCCACACACATTAGGAAAATAGAAAGGAAAACTATTTTCTTGGCAAAAGTGACTTTCATTCTATTCAGCAATATTGAAAATTCAAGTAAGGAAGACTTGGTGGTGGTACATGTCAAAAAACCAAAGAGAGTAAAAGAAACTTCCTTATGACTCATATTTTTGAGTTTTAACTTATCTGTGTGTAACTTTTCTTTGGTGAGAAGAAAAGTTATTTTCCCGTTTAATCCTTTGTGTCTTCTTATTCCTCTTAGACATATGACTAGGTAAGTTAACTTTCAGGTCTGTATGTTTAAAACATGACAAGAAAATAGTAAAGTTTACATAAATAGAATAATATTTTCTCATAGTCATCAGAAAGATAAGAATCTGTTTTGAAAATAATGACAAACTTTTCTCCACGGAGGCTAGGAAATAAAAAAAAAAAAATGGCTTTAAAGTAAAATTGAACTTTTGAACTGAAGTCAGTTACCCTAACCAGATATAGGGGTACAGGAATCTTGTTTTTGGTGTAAGGCTGTGGTGTATGTGTTGTTATATGTACATATGTGCACACGTATATATTCACATATTTGTGTTTATGTATATTGAAGGCCAGAAGTTGACATTGGGTATCTTCCTTAATCACTCTACCTTATTTGCTGAGGCCTCACATTTAACCCAGATATCTTGCTCCCGGATTGCACATAGGCAACATTATTTACATGGGTGCTACGGATCCAAACTCTGGTCCTGATATTTATCCAATGACTCTGAGTCTTCCCTCTTTTCTTCTCTCTTTGGAACCTTAACTGTTTTTAAATGTCTCGTAAATGTCCCCCAAGCCTAGTACAGTTGTCACTTGTGGAACCTGCTGAAGAAAAGAGTGGTGGAATGGACCTCTGCTTAGAAACGGTGCATTTTGATGAGATGGTTATTTAAAATGTGGAATCAAAGTCCATGAAACTTCATTTAGAAGTGATAATTTCTAATTCCTTTTAACTGATGGCTGGGAAACCAGCATAGGACTGTTCCAGACCCCCTGAAGGAGGAAGTCAGTTTGGAGGTCTGGACAATGTATAGGGCCACTGGTAGTGGATCAGTATTTATTCCTAGTACACAAATGAGTTTTTTGACCCCTCTCCACATAGAGGGATACTCTCTCAGCCTAGACACACGGGGGAGGGTCTAGGCCCTGCTCCAAATAATAGGACAGACTTTGAAGATCCCCCATGGAAGGCCGTACCTTCCCTGGGGAGCAGAAAGGGGTTAGGATATAGGAGGTTGGTGGGAGGTAGGGGAGGAGGGGAGAGGGACGGAAAAGAGATTGGCATGTAAAAGAAGCTTGTTTCTAATTTAAGTAAACAAAGAAAAATTCATTTAGAAATATTTATGAGGTCCTGTTAGGTACTGTACCACCCAGAGGTTTATGGGAAGTTGTAGAAAGATGGAGTTAAGAATCAAATGTAGTTCTTGCATACATATACCCAAGTCCATTGAGTGCACAAGTTAGATGTTAACCAGTCAGGCACAACTAATCATGCTCTTGACTTAGTCCACGAGATAGAAGCTGTGAGGGTACATGGTGTTCTGAGCAGGTAGCTAAACCATGGCATTTGTTTTCTCAATGTAATCTAAGCTAATATTGGAATAATCAGTAGCAGTTAGGTGCCAAGGAAAAGATTATGAAGAGAAGGAATAGTGTGTAGAAATGGCTGCGTGTGTGCGTGCGTGTGTGTACATGCACTCGGGTTTGGGTGCCTGAGGAGGCCAGAGGAGTGTTGGATCCCTGGAGCAGGAGTTAACCACAGGCTGTCATGAGCTCCCTGATGTCGGTGCTGAGAACTGGGTACTTTGCAAGAGCAGATAGTTCATGCACTCTTAGCTATGTAGCCATTCCACCAGCTCCAGGACTTTTTACTTAAAGCTTTTTTTTTTTCTTCTTAAACTAGGTACTGCCATCACTAAAATAAGAAAGACTTGAGTAGGGTTAGGGAAGGACAGTTGTGGTACATGCCAGTAGGCAAAATAGTGAAGGTAAGGCCGGGGGTGGGGGTGTGTGTGCAAATTTAGGGATTTGGGAAGAAACTGAATTATTTTAAGGCATTATAATATTGAAGTTATTCTGAGGAATCCGAGATGGGGTATCAAGATGGAAGAGTCTGCAGAGAGCAGATGAGTAAGGGGGATAGAAGCAAGGGTGTGGTGGAGGCCACTGCTGGTGAGTGTTGAGAGTCTCAGAACTGAGAGCATCACCTTAGAAAGGTTTCTGCAGGGTGGTGAGGAGGCTGAGTTCTGTATGGGATTAAAATTGAGTGAGAGGAGGAAATGGAGTGAATGCATGTCAAGTGTGGACCTTGAGGGAAATACAAAGTTGACTTAATTTAAATATAGTAAAATGAAGATATATATACATACACACACACACACACACACACACACACACACACACAGAGTTTGGGTCTTGGCTCTTAGACATTCCCATGACTCCATGACCACAGCTCAGTTCCCATGAAGAACATTCTCGCTACTCAGAAAGATCCTGTGTCCTGTCTACAACCTTCCCAGACTTTCTTGAGTTAAACACAAATGGACTCTTGGGACTGGATATTTGCACTGTGCAAGGAGCCAGGACTGACTGTGCTGGGTTTTTCCCTCTACCCATCTTATCAATGAGTTATCAGTTACTCTTGTCGGTCTGTTTTCTGTTTGCCTGACACCTCCCTTTCACTTCTGTTTTCTTGTTTGGGTTTTAATTTGTTATGTGTCCTAGCTGAAGTTGAACCTTAGATCTTTGATTTTAAACTGCATTTTCTAAAGCCTTTAAAGCTACATCTGCCCTTAAAGTGACACTACATATGTCCGACAATTTTTGGCCTGCTTTTCTGTTTGTTTTGTTTTTCAAGACAGGGTTTCTCTGTGTAACAGCCCTGGCTGCCTGTCTGTCCTAAAACTCTCTTTGTAGACAAGGCTGGCCTGGAACTCACAAGAGAGCCACCAGCTTCTGCTTCCTGAGTGCTGGGATTAAAGGTGTGCAGCACCATACCCAGCAATTTTTGGTCTTTTAAAAGTATATGTATACGGGGGCTGGAGAGATGGCTCAGAGATTGGGAGAGCGCTGATTGCTCTTCCAGAGGTCCTGAGTTAAATTCCCAGCAACCACATGGTGGCT